TCGGTCGGCGCCGGACCGCGAATTTAACCGCCGCTAACTCCAAAACCCCAGGGGCTATCGACGCGAAGGTGGTCTCATTCGAAAGCGGGCCTCTAGACGTACACTTGATTTGCGTTCGAGAGGGTTCCTCTTAGCGGATTCGCTGCGCCGTTACGGAGATATAGCCATTCAAAATTTCAATGGCTTTCCATAGACTTCAGCTTTAAAGCGTTTCATCCAGGTCGCCAGTAGCAAACAATGGAGCGCACTCTGCTGGACAAACTAAGTAATTACACCATTTCAAGCATTTTATCTGCGTTATATGTTCTGTAAAAAAAAAAAAGTTCTTATCGGCGGCATATTCGCCGATACCGATATATCGGCGACAGGCTCATATCGGCCGATAATATCAGCAAAATGATATATCGGTCGGGCTCTAATGTAGACCTTCGTTTATGTGTTTTTGACCTACACTACATAATGAGAGAACAGTCCGCTATTTAGGTTTGTATGGACTCACTAACTTCAACGTTAGCTAGTTTTAGCCAGAGATACTTTGCTGAAACGCAAGATGACATTAATATTCTGCTTGAGCAGATGAAAATGGTAACTTAATGTGTGTATGAAAACCAGAAAATGAACGTTTTTGTCTTCATTGGGATTAGAGTTGAATGCTTACGGACATTTTGCTCTGTTTTGTTTGGGTTTAGGAAATGTAATAAAATAAATGTCATTGCCTATCCTCTCAGGATACCTGGAATCAGTGTTACAAGTACCCCAGGCACATCTGTTTTCCATTTTTGAAGCATAAACCCCATAAAAACGACGTGAGCTTCGGATCTTCCAATGTTTCTCCATGGTGCTGAAACCTACAGATGTCTGAGTTCCGCTCCCTGTGCAACTGATACTCGACTGCCATTGGCTCATCTGCGTTTGAGGGGAGGGGCTTATCGATAGGTCAATTAAAGTTTCAAGACGTCCAGTCTCTATATTTCCTTCCCAGTGGAGTTGGAATAGTTATAACTTCCCTTCTGGTAGTGCTTTGTAAAAGGGAAAAGAATCAACCTAAACAGTTAAAATAGTCATTAAAGATATTCACATATATATAAATAAGCATTTAGATGCCCATGTACGGCAGAAGGCCATATGACAGAAAAGGAAGTGGCCCCGGAAAGGGCTTGAATGGAGCTCGTTTGGCTCTAGAGAAAAATATTAGAGGATATGATGCCATAAATGACCCTGAGCGCTTGTGGTGTGTACAGCTCCATTGTGCTGATGCACAGTTTCTAAACTGTAGAAACAGTAAAAGGATGCTATTGTTGACATTACGTCACGTGGTCTGGTTGGAACCAAATGGTCCTGTATTTGAGCATCCCCCTGCTAACCTTCTTCCAGGGGTCACTGGTCACTTCCAGCTCTTTACACAGCAAACTGTGATGCAGTGTGTGTTCTGACACCCTTCTCTCATGGCCAGCGTTACACCTTCAGCAGTGAGACTGGATCAGACCGGCCTCAGTGAGCCTTGGCTACCCATGATCCTGACGCGGGTCAGTGCTGAGTTTTGCATTAAAGCCTACTCTGGCCAAGAACTGCGCAGTTAGACAGGAAGTGATTGTTTGAGCAGCATGTAAAGTGACCAGCCACAGCTTTTTTACTCGGGGTGTCGAAATTAATCATTGCATCGATGCATCGATAGTAACAGCAGTAATAGACCATGATCGATTATAGCCTACTGACATCATACGCATTTGCGCTTGTCACGCGAGTATTAAAAACGCACTCTCTATTTTTAAATCTGAGCTTGGCTTTTTCCCACATTTGGCAGGTGTGTGTGCTAGAGACAATCGCAGCGGACTTCATTGCACAGAGTATGCAGACATGTGCGCATTGCTTGACAGTGCTTCCACCTGCAGTTATTTCAGAGTTTTACTTTAGACATGCTTTCATCTCTGCCGTTTGAAATGCAGTATGTACTCAAGTACTGACAGACTTTCACAGCGCTTTGTGTTTGTTTGTCCTGAAGCTCGATCGCGGCTGTGGTTAACAACACTTGCATCTCCGAATACTTCTGCGATACAAAATCGATGTAAACACATTCAGTTATATGTTTTCAGAACAGTTCAAACATCTGATATGTGGAAATAGATCTGTGCATTAGTGTGAATGCAGCCTATTAAAGCTGCCACTGTCTATGATGGCACCAGTAATAATCAAACAGGAAACAAGAAAAACCCATAACTATGTTTGTCTGTAAACTTTCGGACACTTAAAAGCACTCTCAGATACTGAAAGTACTTTTTGTTTATCATTTGTAATTGCCTTTCTCCCTTTATTACTTTATATTTGCTTGTAAGTTTTGAAGCTATATTTATTTGGTTAAATTCTTAACAATTGTTTTGATTTATTATTAACTTGTAATTATTTTTAAAAGTAGCATGCTTATATAATTTAAGAAAAATACACAAAATAGATTTGATATAACCGTGATGCATCGTGATATCAAATTGAATCGAATTGTTGACATGATAGTCGTAATTGAATTGAATCGTGACACCAGTGACGATTCATACCCCTATTTTGTACATGAGGTTTAGAGATGAATAAATACACTGCATGTCTCAATCTAAACTCATCCAGTCAGTGTTTTAGACTGTCACCTGGACTTTCAGCAGTCTGCCGCTGTAGGACTTGAAGTAACTGAAGTAGATCTTGCTCATGGTGTCCACGTACTCGTCCCGGATCTCCTTAGCGACTGTCCTCTCATTGGCTAACAGGAACTGATAGAAAAACCTGCAGATGACCAGAAACACATCCATAATCTCACTCAACAGAAACAAGAAAGGGTCAGTCGTTAAAAGTGGAGACAATACTATAAATGCTGTGCAATGACCGTGTTTCCATTAGATATTATTCTTATTTGTTATGGTGTCAACTGTACTTCAGTCTCAGGAAATAGCAGGATTCTTGAATCCATTTATTTTTGTTATTATTTTATTTCAGAAAGGCTCTGTTAATTGCAGGTCAGGACCAGGGCTGTAACTGTGGGTCTACCAAAGAGTCATTCAGACCAGTGGACAACAAATATTATATTTATTATTATTAAGAATTAATAATAACTCATTACCTTTCTCTTTCAAGAGTTTTTGTGGCAACCTTTACATTCATGTTATTTTGATGTTTAACAATCCTTTATGTGAGAAACCGTTTGTTTTAAAGTGGGAATGGCACAGCATAATTGGGTTGAACTGAAAGTGCAGGGACAAAGACAAATTCTGCATTCTCTAAGAACTATTTTCCTGTTAATTACTGTGTATATATATATATATATATATATTAGAGGTGTAACGGTACACAAACATGACGGTTCGGTACGTACCTCGGTTTTGACGTCACGGTTCGGTTTCGGTACAGCAGGAGGAAAACATACTAAACATAAATTGTTTTTTTTATTAAACAATGTTTTACTGAACAAATTGCTCTTTCTTTAAATAAATTAAATTATAATTCAACTTCTCTTTAAATCTTCATTATTAAAAAAAAAAAAAATCAACAGGTAAAGTAAAATATAATGAGTATATAGTCTAATATTTATATGTAATTATGTATAATTATAGCTGTGGACACTGATGACTTGCCTGAGGTAAATGAAACGCTACGTGACATTTTGTTTACAAACTGTTTTAATCACATCTTTCCACGAGTGAAACACTGGATGTGCGATTACCCGAGGCATGAGATGTTCATTCATGTTTATTTTGCGTTAAAACTATAGTAAAGAAGAAGAGATGAACGCGCTCACGCGCGATCGCGCTGCAGTTTGAAATGATGCACCTATACAGCGATCTACCTCGCCACATCAAAGAGTGCCCAAACGGCAGGCATCGTCTGAATTTCCTGAAAAAATTGAATGATTTATTCTGTACACGTGTATACCGAACCGACCGTTACACCCCTAATATATATATATATAAAAGTGCATGTTAATCCACACTGTAGTGGAACTGTGTACCTGAACTTGAGTAGCGTGTTCTGAGGGATCTGGTAGTTGGTCATGGGCTTTCTGAAGGAGTAGATCTTCTGCAGGATGAACTCACGGATCTTTGAGACGGCCTGTGAACAGGATCAGAGCAGAGAGAGAACTCAGTAGCATTCATTTTCAATGCATCTGTTCTATTATCAAGAATGATGGGATCGCTGTAGAAACTTTGATGTGCTCTGACTTTCATTTTGAGGCGATCTACGATGTCCTGTATGTCGGAGCAGGCGAGGGTTTCTCTGAAGCTGAGCTCTTTAGCATAGTTGATCTTGCTGTTGAGCTCGTGAAGCTGCTCCAGAAACTCCTGCTCCGTCACAGGACTGTCCAGAATCACACTGAAACACACACACACACACACACACACACACACACACACAGTTCTTCACTGAGTGATTGAGAAGGTAAAGTGCTGCCTGTGATGAGAGGCTCTTACGAGATCATGGTGCTGGGAACGACCAGCTCGTCCACCAGCTGGCTGAGCTGACTGCGCACGGCCTGCCGGTTCTTCAGCCTCAGGTTCATGCTGACCGACTGCTGCTGCAGCGTCTGGATCTCGCTGCTGATGGAGGACAGGTCGCTCTGGAAGCTGCTCAGCATGCCCTCCATGCGCTGCACACAGAGGAAAGCAGCGTTTCAAAGAGCCCAGCAACACATCAGCCACACATCCAATCCACATCCACATATTCGCATCAGTGTTATCAATGAGACACTATGGACCTTTTTCACATTTGTGTGTTTCTCAGCAGCGGAAGTCGTCATAGTTGGGTTAACTCGAAGAGCAGTGAATGGGAGAGTACCACAAATATATTTTTTGCATTCCCATTTGCTCAAATAGCAAAAAAAAAAAACTCCACGATAGTGTTTTCATGACTTTCAATAAAAGGAAAAAAAAACTGAGACTGATAACGGCAGTCAGAAGAGAGAACGATGTCAAATTTACCGTTCCTCCCATAAACACTGCATTAGAAACACCCTCGCATTAGTGTTAACTAGCTTTTTACGATGCTGATGACCATTAAACACGCGTTTAACGGTCATCAGCATTGTAAATCCTCAAAAGTTTTTTATATTTAGATTTTTTTTTTAAATGTATGTACATTTATAACTTTGTATTATATCACCTTTGCATCAAATTACAAAAAAAGCTAGTTCTTTTCATCAGTCTTGTGAGAAGAGTCCAGTGTAGTTTTTGTGAATATTTTCAATTTTATTTTATTTTTTATATTTTATGCTTTCATCTTAATGTTCATGTTTTTGTCATTTTTATTAGTTTTCGTTGTTTTTAAAAATGTAAAAAAATATTTATTCCTTTTTATTTCAGTTTTAGTTATATTAGAACATCAAGTTAAACTAAATAAAAATGCAAAATGTTGCCTTGGAAATGAACTGAAATAACTTTAAGATTTTAGTATTTTATTTCAGTTATATGATTTTAAGATTAGAGATGATTAGAGATAGAGACATTACACGATCAAGTTGTTTCCCAGAATATCAGCACGATTGCAATGTGATAGTGATTTTATACAACAGTGGTTAAATAAAGAAGAAGTTAAAATTAAGTGACTTATATTTTAGACACAATATTGACTGTTTTTGCTCAATTTCTCTGATGAAAATAGTTCCACAGCACACAGCAGAACTGTTCTGTGTCGCTGAGCAACACAGCGGTGTTTCATTACTGAATGAATCCACGTTTTTGAACGAATCGTGTGAGTCAAAGATTCAGTGACCCATTCATAAAGTCAGTCACTTGCCTCATTTCTGAATGAATCAGCTGTTTGAACGAATCAGTTGAATGAATGACTAAATGACTCACTCATTAGAACGGTCTTTTGCCACCACCTACTGGTGGTTTGGTTTCATATTTAAACCTATCACTGCATTTTCCCAACACTTCCTATTTGTATGTTTAAAATATTTAAAACATTAATCTTATAAAATTATTTATGCATGTGAAATTTATAACTCATTTTCAGTTAATTGTTATTTCTACTTCTTTCCAGTCACAGAGCACTTTATTTTGAGAGTTGTTTAAGTGAGAGAACATCTGTGACTTAGTCCAGATTGGGGGAAACTGTAATGTTTAATAATTTATTTTATTATGTAAATAATTTTGGAAAAAAACATAAGAAAAATAAAGTATTGATTTTTGTTTGTATATGCTGTCAATTATAGTTCTTAGAAAGAAAATCAGAATCGGCAAAAATCGGTATCGGCAGGTCACACTTACACGGACATCGGAAATGGCCAAGAAAATTACAACGGTGCATCTCTAATTAAGATATATGTCAAAAAAATAAAAATAAAACTGTGCTTGTCAGTTGATTTCATGGGGTCCTTAAGTGTGCAAAATCATTTATGAAGCAACAGCAAATGCTTTATAACTTCTGTCATGAGTAAATGCATTCAAATATGGATACAATATAACTATAAATACAACTAATAAATAATAATTAGTGCTGTCAATCGATTTAAAAAAAAAAAATAATTAATCACACATTTTTTTCTGAAATTAATTGCAATTAATCACGATTAATCCCACCTAACATTAATGTTTTTAAATATACTTTTATATTGCAATAATTTCACATTAAATCTTCACATTAATGTACAAACAACATAAAGACAGTATATTTGTAATATTTGTTTAATGGCATTTTTTTATGACTGAAGGCTAGTATCACTAGCTATGTTCCATCACCCTGTTTAATGCGCATTTTGAAGTATCGCATGAGAAACAAGGGACGGAAACGCCAAATTTCGAATAAAAATCCCTTAATTTGCAAAAAAGTTTCTACGCTCGCTTGAGGTGGTTTTTGACTTGTGCGAAAAAGGGTTGATGCGAATAATGGGAGATGGAAATGCATTTTGCGAATAAATTCCTCCAAGCGCATCAAAAAAAGTCATGTGACTTTGCGCTATGGGACGGCAAAACCTGACTAACCAGCGGACCGATCTCATTCACAGCATCTGAAATGTTGTTATTGTCATTCGGAAATGCCCGAGCAAAGTCTGTCATCAAAGTATTTCTGTATAATTGTCTTACACGACTGCGTTCCCAAACAGCAGCATCCACCTCCGAAAGCAATGATCACATTCATTGTGTTTCGTCTGCTCGCTCTGAGGCGCAAGTAATTTATTATATATGAAAATTATTATATTCTCCTACTTTTCTTAGGGATTTATAGTGCCAAACTTTGGATGGAAACCCGGCTACTGATATCAATACTACTGATGTCTCCAGGAAATAGTTTTTTTCCCCTAATAGTTAACCATTGACTATAGCCATTCAACATTACAGTATAATTGAGAGCTATCAATTTTAACATTTATTAGACTTTAAAAAATAACTTCTAATTTAAAGGGGTCCTATTATGTTCTTTTACAAAGTCTTGATTTTGTTTTGGGGGTGTACTAGAACAGGCTCTCATACTAGGTTGTTCGAAAAACACATTATTTTTCACATATTTTACATT